TGGCAAAGCCTCTTACCTCACTCACGTAGAGGTGGAAGGGCTTCACGACGTCTGGCAAGGCTAGGGCAGCTGCTGAGATGAGAGCCTCCTTTAGCTCCTCAAAGGTCCATTGTCCAGTTCAGCAGCTGCGTTCCTTCTGTACATGTTTCTTCTGAGGTCCATAGTCCTTCTTCGATGTCCAAGGATGCTCCCTGCTTTCTACAATAAACATACTAATTCCTTCCTATTAGTTGCTGGCCTTTTAATTTCAATTCAACTTCTAAACTTTCTTTCTATATAACTATGCCTCAAATTTTAAAAGCAAGGGAGGAGGGAGCAGGTCCAGTACTCTGTTCCCAGGCCTCCAGCCGCTTGAAATTTAAAATGCCACATTTTTCCTACAGATATAGATCTATCTGCATTTCTAAGCCTCTTCTACTCCCCCCCCCCCCCCCGCAGAACATCGGTGAAAATTGTCCAAGCAGTCGCAGGGGGTTAAATCATACAAATAATTGTTTTAACACAATTCTAAATAAATTATAAACCTTTGTGATGAAGTCTACTTAAAACTACGCACATGACTGAAACCAAAAATGATTCCCAAAGTTTAAACAAAATACAAGATGCAGGTACATCCCAAATTCAAACTTACAATGCAAAGCAAAACAAAACAGATCAAATATAAAAGTTTCATATGTTACATTAAACATGACTTCAGAAAAACTGACTTAAAAAATACTGCATCATTGACTTAAAACAATTTTTTTAAGTTTAAGCATTACATACTTTTTCATCTGACAAATGAAAATAAATTAATCCTTCAGATATTTGATCATTACTGCTTATTCTTAACACATAATACAGTTTAGCCTGCCATATTCTAGGCATCTAGTTACTGCAATTAATTTTTCCTAATTCAATTTATACTTTGGACTTTTAAAGCTGGCAAGTCAAATATATTTGGCATTTTTTTTAGATTAATAACATTACATTTCTAATACATCCTGCTTAGCTGATACCAATGACAAGGAAGCTAAACATTGTATGCAAGGCCATCTAGGCAGCTTCACCACGTTATCATTTGCTCCACCCTGCAGATCACTGGAATTCAAATGCAAATGAACACATTCTTTAGCTAAAGACTCCTGGCCATGGCCATTACCATCTAGTTTCCACCTCAAGGTGGGGAATTGCAAAAGCTGGTACAATGACTTGGGAAACCAGTTTTAATTTATCTCCCAGTTATCTCCACCACTTTTAAAACTTATTCTGTACCCAGAAAAGCGTTTTTAAGCACAGCCCAAAACTATGCGCACTCGTTTTGAACTGGCCTTTTTTCTTTACTGAGCACAGAGATTCGCCCTTGAGCTCTTCTTCCATAGGATGTTGCCACAGACCCGAGGCCTCCACGCCAGCCCAGGCCCCCAGGGCCCAGGCCCCCAGGGCCCAGGCCCCCAGGGCAAGGCTGCTTTGGCCTTCCCAGCCACGCTACTCAGGCAGCCCCCAAGGAGAAAGCGCGGGTCGCCCCAGCAGCTTCCCGGCTCCACCTCCCCTTCTCCAGGCAGCCAGCAAATTAACCCAGGTGCCTGCTCCCCGAGCGAGGCCACCACTGCCCAGCCGCGCTCCACCGCACAGACTGAGCCCCGCGGGAGCCCCCCCTCCGGCCCAACGCCGCCAGGGGGCCCCGCACCGCCACGCCGGCCACACTTCGCCGGCTCCATCCTGGGGCGCCATGTCGCCCGCAGATACCAAACTCAGACCTGGGAAAGGCTCACTTTCCGCAGGTGAGGTAACGGCTCACGCCGCTCACCTCGTCCTGGAGAGGATTCATTCCTCTCCCCATGAGGGTCCCTCTAGGGCCCTCCAGGGAGGTCAGAACGTCTTCTGATCCTCCTGCCCGTGGCCTTCATGGTGCGTCCACCAGGCGTTTTCGGGCACCAATTCCATGAGGGGTTTTACGTCCCTCCAGAGCGCGCACACACCTACCGCGGCCAGTCAGACTCTCCGGATCGGGTTCCTCATGGCCCTAGGGATCCCGGACGAGCCCCCATATGTTACGCCCAGACTTCGTGATCCCCAAGGACCACCAGGGAGCCGAGTCCGATGCAATAAACAAAAGAGCCTTTACCATGCTAGCATGGGCCCCCCCACTCATGCCGGCAGCATGGCGGAAGAGAGTGAGCTTCTTCCAGTCCAGGGGTTTTACTCAGGTCGATGGTGATGTCACTGCCTCGGCTAATCCTGATTGGTTGGGTGAGGGCTAGGGATAACTCCGCCCTGCGGGGCGGAGTCGGGAGCTCATCCCCACCCCGCCCTGCCGTCTCAGTGTCAGCTACATCCAAGGACATGAAGTTAAGAAAATAAACCTCATTTTGGTGCATAAGCATAACTGATGAATATTTTATTGAGATCCTCCACTGTTTGCCTTACCCTGGTGATTCCGAGACCCGACCGAACCCAACTTTCAGGCTCACCAAAGCTGTTTGCAGTGGCTTTTCCATACAAATGTGGGGGGGCCTGATGCGGTGGGGATCTCCCTTTTCCACATTCCTCACGGAAAGAGAGATGAACGAACCGGTTCCAATGGAGGCGGCCAGGGGTTGAGAAATATCAGGAATAAAGAGGGAAGACGCAGGATAGATTTTAAGCCGGAGCTGGGTGGGCCGCCTCCTGTCTGCTGGAGAGGCAGGAAGACGACGGCTTCTCCCAGTGCATTTATTTTACACCCCAATACCAGGAAGTGGCACCAACTTATTTGCATGCCTGGATTTACATATCTAGTCCCGCCCCTGCCGACACCTGGGCTGAGATGAAGGCCAAGCTGACTACATGTCACCCATCTTGGGGAAACATGTTCCCAAGGCGTGGCTCTGCCTACACCCTGAGTTCAGCTGACGATAATTAAAGAAAATTGCCCGTGTGCCTTCCCAGATGGCCCTCTACACAAATGGCCTGTCTTGATCATGCTTCAGATTTTCCCAGACTTTAAGGCCCTCAAGTTGAAGGACCCAGGGTGCACTCTTCCTCCCAAGAGCACGCCATGCCTTTCCACCCTCTCAAACTTGCCATCAGGGAGCGGTGGGCAGCAGCAACTCTTCCCAAGATAACCCTGAAACTGCCTCCAAAGCCCCCTTTTCTCTGACTTCCAGTGAAAGTCCTGCCTGGCTCAGTTCTTCCTGTGACGTTTTCAGAGCCAAAGCAGCCCCGCCTAGACTTTCTCCTGTTGCTTCTACCTTAGGCCCTTCCTTTCGTCACTGTCCCCAGCTTTAATGCACATCCTCTCAGATTCACCTGGACTCGTCATGTGAAGTCTTCCCTGCATGAAGTCAAGAACCCACCCACCATTGGCCAGCCTGGGACAGACCAGCTGATTCCTGTCTGGTAGGCTGGGTCGGTGTCCACCACCCCAACCAGTGTTGGTGGCTTATTTTTGTCACTTTCACATGAAGGGGCTGTTGGCAAATTTTTAATGGACAGGTGAGATCCAGTTTTGCAACTTCAGTTCCAGCTTCAGGGCCTGACAACACTGAGAGCTGAATGTGGCCCCCAGGAGGCATTCAGGACAATGTGGCCCCCTGCTGTGGAGCCCGTTTGGGTGAAGAGACCCAAGAGGCAGGTCTCTGACCTGCTGCTGTGGAGCTAGCAGTTCAGGGCTTCCTGTGACAGGCAGAAAGGTCTCTTCCTTTTCCTTTTACATCCTTCCCCAAGGACATACTTTTATCTGCCCTGACTGGGAATTGCACCCACAGACTCTTGGTTTATGGGACAGTGCCTCTACCAACTGAGTCAGGGCCCAAGGTCTTTTCTGTATCAGCCCCGGATTCCTGCTCGTCCCTCCGCTCAACGCCTATTTCTCTCTAAGGCCTCCGGATACTGACGGCGCCTCTTTCCTGAGCATGACTGGGTCAGACCCTTTCCTGTGCACTCCGGCTCCATCTCCTCTCGGGTCGGTGCATTGCTGTGATGAGAGAATTGAGGCAGATTCTGTGGTGACCCTGCTGGTGATTTTGGCCTCCACCCAGGTTCACTTCCCACCGGAGCTTCCCGGCCTCGGGCTACTTCCCTGGAGCATTAGCCGGATTCTGGCCTCTCAGGATGCTTTTGTTTGTAGTATAATTTTAAGATATCAGGTTATTGGGTGTGTGTGCGTTTTATTTAAAAAGGCCAGATTTTTCTTCCTATTTCCTGCTTTCCTCAAAAGATTAAGGTCTGAAATAATAAACTCTACCTCCCACCACGGCCATCTGAGCCTGGCTGCCCCATCTGGATGTGATGTTAAACAGCAAGTTTTCCCTCGGTTCAAATCAGATACAGAGGCCTTTGTATTTGAAGATAAATAAAAGGAACTAGGGCTGAACTACGTCAGTGCAGTCTGTGTGTGTGTGTGTGTGGGGGGGGAGCCGGCTCTGAAACAGCGTGATCCGCAGCAGCGTCTCCAGAGCGCTCGCACGGCGACTGCCATGACCGCAGCGGGTCTTCACATGGATCATTTCTCACAAGCATGGGAGGAGCTAACATGGTTACCATTGGGTTTGTTTTGGTGGTTGTGTTTTTTACCAGAGGAGGGAGCTGAAGTTTATTTCTTAAAATATATTTACTGACTTTTAAAAGGGAGGAAGGGAGAGGGATAGTTAGAAACATCGATGAGAGAGAAACACCGATCAGCTGCCTTCCACACACACACACACACACACACACACACACACACACCACCAAACCAGGGATGTGCCCACAACCAAGATACATGCCCCTGACCGGAATTGAACCTGGGACCCCTCAGTCCACAGGCCAATGCTCTATCCATTGAGCCAAACCGGCCAGGGCAGGAGCTGAAGTTTAGACAGTCCTTTGGCCTGCCTGGCCTCCGTTGGTCAGGGGCTGGCGAGCCTGAGGAGCAGAGTCCCTGGGAGGCCACCCTCGGCTCCCTCGGTGCAGGGACATAAGCCAGCTCCAGAGCAGGCTCGCTTTCTGGACCTTTCTCTCCTTGCTGCAGGGTCAGAGGGCGTGCAGAGAGTTGATTCTCAGGTACCGGGAGAAGAGCACGTAGAGCCGGCGGAACCACAGGAGCTGGCTGCGGTGGCAAGACATGGCCCTCTGCAGGCACAGAGCACCAGTTAGCACACACGGGCACCGGAGCGCGCCTGTTAGCCCCAATTTCACCGTCCTCCCTCCAACGCCCCATGTTACAGCCTCCACTGGCTTCCTCCTGGAACCCCGGAACCCAGGCCTGGCTGCCAGTACCGCCCGGCTCCCGAGCCACACACGCCCCGTGCTAACAGCAGAGGAGGCGCATGGTCTGGAGCACTCAGTCTCCACGCAGCATTTAGATTTTAACAACCCAGAGAGGTAAGTGCTACATTATTTCTTAAAAAATAGATGAGGAAACACATCGATCTCAAGTAGGTAGTTCAGAACGGGCTGACATTTGAACCCAGAGCCATCTGATTGCCTCTGGAGTCTTGTTCTTAATCACTTTGCTCCACACTTCACATGCATGACACAGGCTGTTTCACAGGTACAGCCAGAATACCAGGCTCAGACTCCTCTGAACTCGGTGGGAAGGAAGAATGGTGCACACAGGCATGGCTTCTCTTTACTGCCTAATGGAAGAGATGTTTATTATCTAGTTATGCAGGTCTGTGATAGCTCAGTTTTTAAAAAGAACAGAAAACAGCAACTGATTTAACTGTATATAAACAAAGATGTTTTCTGCCTGTTTTTCTTTAAGTACCAAAATGATCTTCCTCTCCAAGTTAATCTTATATAATAAAAGAGTAATATGCAAATTGACCATCACTCCAACACACAAATATGGCTGCCCCATGTGGTCAAAGATAGTTAGTTGCCCCTATGTGGACACAAGATGGCCGCCACAATATGGCCAGCAGGATAGGGCAGTTGTGAGGAAACAGGCCTGCAAGGGAGGGCAGTTGTAGGCAATCAGACCAGCAGGGGAGGGCAGTTAGGGCAAACAGGCTGGCAAGGGAGCAGTTAGACATCAATCAGGCTGGCAGGGGAGTGGTTAGGGGCTGATCTGGCTGGCTGGCAGAAGCAATGAGGGGCAGTCAGGAAGGCAGGCAGGCAAGCAGGTAGGAGCCAGCAGTCCTGGATTGTGAAAGGGATGTCTGACTGTCCTGGTTGCTGCTCTCCCCTGCCGGCCTGATCGGCCATAACTGCCTCTGCCTCGTCCCCCATCACCATGGCTTTGTCCGGAAGGAAGTCGGACTCTTGCAAGATGGCTGGTCAACTCGGTCTAATTAGCATATTACCCTTTTATTAGTATAGATAGCCTGGCCATCATGGCTCAGTGTTTGAGGGTCAGCCTGTGAACCAGGAGGTTTCAGTTCACAGCCCAGTTAGGGCACAGGCCCAGTTTTCGGGCTCCTGTGGGACGTGTAGGAGGTAGCCAATCAATGATTTCCTCATCACTGATGCTTCTATCTCTCACCCTCCCTATCCCTGCCTCTCCAAAATCAATAAAAATATAAGAATAAATATATTCTTATGTAGATATATTTATCTAATACTCTTTATATAGAAGATATAAGCCAATATATTAACTAGGATTACGTATGAGAGGTAGGATTGCAGGAAATTTTATTTTAATTTTCTTTTGATGCTTTTATGCATTTCCAGATCTTCTACAATAAGCATGTTGTTATTTGCTTTTTTAACATGTATCATCTTTACAATGAGTAAAAAAAAAAGGTAGTTCTTTAAAACCTATGACTCCAAGTCCAGCACCAGCACCGACACGCAGGGGCAGAGGCAGAGGCTAGCTGCGGGGGAGGCTCCGAGGGCTCTGAGGGCCCGGGTCTGAGGAGCCGGAGAGGGGAGATCTGGGGTCGGGCTGTGCAGAAAGCTGCAGTCCTCACCTTGGCCTGTGCCACTTCTTCGCTGGTGAGCACGAAGAGGAGGTCGGCACGCCGCAGAGAGAAGGGCAGGTCCAGGAGGGAGATGTACTTGCGCAGCACATTCACAGACTGGAGCGTGAGCGCCGTGCACCCTGCGGGGGGCGAGGGGAGGAGGGAAGAGCTGGGCTTCCAGACAGACTTTCCCGAGACCCTGCCTGCCCCTGGGGCTCAGGACGGGGCGGCGGCCCTTTGCCCATCGTTCTCACAGATGAGAGGAGTGAAAGGACCGCAGGACACCTGACCTGCTGCCTCTCCCTGCTTCAGTCCTGAGAGGAAAGGCTGGTTGCTAGAGGTTGGGATTTGGCTACCTCAGGGCCAGGGGAAAGAACACAGACGGACATACCCAGTGAGGAGTGTGCCGGAGGCAGCTGACCGGTGTTTCTCTCTCATCGATGTTTCTAGCTCTCTATCCCTCTCCCTCTCTGTAAAGAATCAATAAAAATATTAAAAAAAAAAAAAAAGAGAACACAGATGGGAATTCTTGTATTGGGAGGCCAGAGGTCTGCTTCCTGTTGGTCACTAAAGACTAAGAAAGTCCCTTAACCTCTCTGAGCCTCAGTTTTCTCATCTGTAAAGTGGTGTTGATAGTATGGGACCTGCCTGTCTCACCAGGTTAACAAATAAGAATCAATCTATAGTCAAATTCCAAAGACCTCACAGTGTGGTGACCTCAGTAAGCCTCTCAGAAAGGGCACACGCTCACATGTTCTTAAATCTTTCATCTTCAGAGCATTCCTGGGAGGGATGTGCACTGTCGCATTGGCAGGCCAGACACTAGCTCATAGGTCAAGCAGCCGCACCACGGTGTATGGCAGGTGGGGGCATGCACCATCCTCTGGGTTGGGAAGCGTTTTGAACTCAAGCAGATTAATCCATCAAACGCCCGCCAGTTAGTTTCAACCCGGCTAATGAACTGCGAGATGGGGGCTGAGTTTGGACAGACAGACTGAACGAACGCCAGAGATGGAAAAGACCCACCGTGAGGAAGCCGAGTGGGCAGAGCTGGCATGTCAGCTGCACCACAGGGCGCCCAGAGGATCGGCTGAACATGATTTCTGGGTGTCTGTGAGGATGTTTCCAGATGGGGTTCGCATTTGAGGCAGATTGCCTTCGTGTGTGTGTGTGTGTGTGTGTGTGTGTGTGTGTGTGTAAGCATCCAGTTAGGGGCTGAAGAGAACAAAAGGCCAAGGATGGGAGAACTTTTCTGCCTGACGGGGGGGGGGGGGGGGGAGGAGATGCTGGTCATCTGCCCCTAGGCCCTGGGCTGGAACTGGGGCCTCTCACTGGCTCCTGCTTCTGGGCTCGACACCACCTGCTCCCCTTGGCCTCTAGCTTGTAGACGGCAGATCCTGGGCCTTCTCAGCCTCCATAACTGTATGAGCGATTCCTTGTAATAAACAGGTAACTAAATCCTCTCCTGTTGGTTCCATCAGCTCTGGTTCTCTGGAGAGTCTTGACCACACCCTCAGTCTCCCCGCAATGTGTGGGGGCTGCCTGCTGGCCGGGCCCTGGTTCTGAGACCCAGGGACCCGCATGGACAGAACCCGGAGCCCAGTCTCCCACCCGCCACCTCCGCTCGGCCTCGGCAGCTCTGTAGACAGTTAAAATGTCCCACTGACGGGCTTCCCCTGACCCAGCGGCCTTTAGCACAGGGACAGGCTTACCTTCAGGTAACTTCCCTTCTGAATGGAGGGCCCTGCGGAGGAAGGACAGTGAGGAGGAAAATGAGCTTTGCAGGTAGCAAGAAGGGCCTTCTGAGGAAGCTGCCACCCCATGGGCCCGCCAGGTCAGTTTCTAGGTAGTTGCTTTTGCACAAATGGACACACAGATGTCTGCTACAGCCACGTGGGCATCTCACCAAGGGACCGCCAGGCCCAGTCTGGCGGCGGGCCAGGCTGATGAAGAGCCTGGCTCAGGCCTTGCCCATTGGAGAGGAAGGGGTGGACTCTTCAAGGTTTCTCTCTGAAACTGTAATGTGAGTATGGTGGGAGACTATTTTGTCTTTATAATATATTTTTATTGATTTCAGAGGAAGGGAGAGGGAGAGAGATAAAAACATCAGTGATGAGAGAGGAACAAAGTGTTGTCTTCCTCGTCCATTGATCGGCTGCCTCCTGCCAGGCCCCTACTGGGGATGGAGCCCATAACCCAGGCATGTGCCCTGACTGGGAATCAAACCGTGACCTCCTGTTTATAGGTGAATGCTCAACTACTGAGCCACTGGCGGGAGACTATTTTATTTTATTTTATTTATTTATTTTAAATATATTTTATTGATTTTACACAGAGAGGAAGGGAGAGGGTTAGAGAGTTAGAAACATCGAAATATCGACCAGCTGCCTCTTGCACACCCCCTACTGGGGATGTGCCCACAACCAAGGTACATGCCCTTGACCGGAATCGAACCCGGGACCTTTCAGTCCTCAGTCAACTGAGCCAAACCGGTCTCGGCACAGGAGACTATTTTAAAACGCTGACATTTCTTCCCTGGCACCCTCTCTCCTTTCCAACCTGCCCACTCCTTCCCAGCTCTGACAGGGGAGCTCTGTCTCCTCCTCAGAGGGGTTTCGGAGCCTCTGGCCCGCTCTGTTGTAAAAGCTCAGGCAGGTAGTCTGGACACAGACACACGTGAGAAGGGCTTCTGCCCTTGCGCCTGAGAAATGGTCTCACACCAACACATGGTTTTACCTCAGCACAGTGAGCCTTTCTGTACGTACAGTTGCGCCCCAGGCTCCTTTCCACAGGAAGTGTCCCCACTGTCCTGTCTGCATGAAGCTGTCCTGGGGCTCTGCCCAGATGGCAGCCTTCACACCTTCCCCCTTCCATGGGGGATCAGAGCATGTTGGGGAGGGAGGGGACGCACCCAGACCAGCCTGAAGTGCCTTGCCGCAGTCTGGTGTTGCAGCAGCCCCAGTTCCGCCCTCCTCTGGGCAGCTGGTAGTACCTGCCAAGGCCCAGCGAGCAACGGCATGAGGAAGCCACCTCTCAGCTCTCCGTGGGGCTGACGCCCCTCCTCTCCTGGGCGCCCAGGCCCCAGAGAGCCACAGGGCTGGTTGGAAAGCCCTCATGGCGTCCTCACCCTCCACGTGTCTTCGCGGCTGTAAGCAGGGGATGCTCCTTCCTGAGCCTGAGGGCCTAATGCAGGTCCGGGGCTTCCACGAGTGGAGCCGCTGGTGGGATAGGAGGTGAGTGGTCTAGGGCAGCAGCAGTCTTCCTGCCCCGTGCCAGGGAGATGGGGACGCAGTGGGGAGACTGGGCGATCAGTTAGAGTCTCTTCTAGTAAGCGATGCACTCTTCAGGGACAACGCTGGAAGGCTCTGATACTGGATGGGTCTTCAGAGGCAGCAGACAGACACTAGATGGAGCCCCAGGGTTCCCGGGCCTGGGGCTGCCTCTGCCACCACGGCCTGGCAGTGCCAGGCAAACCGCCCCCTGCCTGGGTGAAAGGAGGCCCGGCCGGACAGGTAAGGCCATTCCACCGCCACACATCTCTCTGCTCCAGCTGAGGAGGCTGGCATGCCGAGGAGGTGACAGGTAAGCCCTTCACCTCAGCTGCCCTTCGTCCTCAGCAGATGGACCAGGTCTACCAAGCTCTGCCAAGGCGCCCACAGGGAGCCCTTCTTTTGAGGACGGAAACATGATATATTTCATATGACTCTGAGTAAGTCCCTGATCTATTCAAGGTTCAGGTTTTATTTTTTACGGGTAAATTCCATATTGGTCAAATAGGGTGACTGTGAAATACAAATGAGATTTCATATTATATATATATACACCTCCCTCCTGCAAAGAAAAATATGAAGTAGTGTATAAAATATACAACAGCCTGGCTGGTGGCTCAGTTGGTTGGATACTATCCCATGCACCAAAAGGTTGCGGGGTCAGGACATATACCTATGTTGCGGGTTTGATATCTAGTTGGGACACATACAAGAGACAAATCAATCTATGTCTGTCTGTCTCTCATCAATAAGAACATATCCTTGGGGGAGGAATATACAGAAATAAATGAGAATAGGGAGGAAAAAGAAGATGAAGCCAGGAGGCACACTGGTTCACACAATTCAATCCTTAGGGTCTCGTGCATGTGCTACGAAGGGATGCACATTTGGCCCTAGAGGTTTCAGTGGCCAAAGCAAAGAAAGTAAATCGTTCCCCCTTGCTGAATCCAGGGTGTCAGACACACACACACACACACACACACACACACACACACACACACACACACACAGCTGTCTGGGAGCTGTGAACACGGCGGCACTGCTCGCTGCCCACAGGCAGTGTCATGGGCTCAGCCGCAGAAGCCGTCCCCTGAGCAAATGGCAAGCGCCTCCCCCAGGACCAGCGCGCCTACCTCACAGCCGCGTGCAGAGCCACGTGATTGCGGTGCCCGCTTACTCCCCCGGCATCGAAAGTCACCACCTGCAGAGAGAGAGGGTCTCACTCCTGCCCGGGGAGGGCCAGGGAGCAGAGCCAGGAAACTCCTCGCGGTCTGAGCGGACGGCTCAGGCCCACGGTAACCATGGGTGCACGGGGCTCCCACAGCGGGTTTGGCTGTTCGCTCTTGTTCCTGGCGGCGGAGCAGGGTGCAGTTCAGCCTGATGTGCTATAATACTAAGCCCGGAGTAGCTGTCTTTACTGCCTCGCCAGGTAAAGCACATTTACTTCTCCTGGCCGGCTGCCGGGTGGACTCAGTTCATGATGCTATTGGGTCTCTTCCTTGTGCCTCACTGAGGGCACAAGCTTCTGGGGACAGTTTCCTTTCTTTTCTTTTTTTTTAAATAAATTTTTATTGTTCATATTATTACAAATGTTCCTTCCCCCCACTTCCCACCCCACCCTCTGCCCTTTCCCCACCCCCCATTGTCCTCATCCATAGGTGCACAGTTTATGTTCAGTCTCTTCCCACATCCCCCTCCCCTTTTCCCCAAGAATCGTCAGTTCACTCCTGGGGACAGTTCCACCGGGGCCTGGGTTAGGTTCACAGCAGAAATGTTTATTCATAGACAGCCTCTGCTTCCATTTCCACAAATATAGATCTGTTTATTAACTAAAAACTTAGATTCCAACATTTCAGTTCTACATGGATGGGTTTTAAAAAGCCCAAGGAACAATTTAAATAATATAATAATGATAATAATAATAATAATAATAGAAGAACTTGAATAATAAGAGAAATATTCTAGAGAAATCAAGGACCCAGGAAAAGGAACAGGACTGGTTGGTGGGGGCGATGGAAAGAGGCTAGCTGTCCCCAGGGGTGGCAGGTGACCACATAGCACAGGCGAGGGTCCTGAAACGAACTGGAAGAGGCTGGGAAGGAATTCATGACCAGTCTTTCTTTTCATATATATAGATTTCAGAGAGGAAGGGAGAGGGAGAGAGAGAGAAACATCAATGATGAGAGAGAATCATTGATTGGTATAGCCCCAGTGGCGACTGAGCCTGAAACCCGTGTATGTGCTCTGACTGGGAATCAAACTGTGATCTCCTGGTTCATAGGTTGACGTGCAACCTCCAAGCCACACCTGCTGGGCTGACTGGTCTTTCTTTTTTTTCTTTTTATAAAAATATTTTATTGATTTTCAACAGAGAGGAAGGAAGAGGGATAGAGAGCTAGAAACATCGATGAGAGAGAAACATCGACCAGCTGCCTCCTGCACACCCCCATTGGGGATGTGCCCGCAACCAATGTACATGCCCTTGATCAGAATCGAACCTGGGACCTTTCAGTCCGCAGATCGACGCTCTATCCACTGAGCCAAACCAGTTTCGGCTGACTGGTCTTTCTATACTACACAGTATAAAACGTGTTTACTTCATGTACAGGAAACTGTGAGCAGCTTTTACTGAGCACAGGCTGGAGGGTGGGGAACAGATGGGAGAAAATGTGAAGTCTTATCCATTGATCTTGATTCAAACAAGCTATAAAAAAACAAAACAAATAAAAACTCATTTATGGCCGAGACTGACTTGGCTCAGTGGATAGAGCGTCGGCCTGCGGACTGAAAGGTCCCAGGTTTGATTCCAGTCAAGGGCATGTACCTTGGTTGCGGGCACATTCCCAATGGGAGGTATGCAAGAGCAGCTTATCAATGTTTCTCTCTCATCGATGTTTCTAACTCTCTATCCCTCTCCTTTCCTCTCTGTAAAAAAAATCAATAAAATGTATTAAAAAACAAAACAAAACTCATTTATGGCATGAGACTATTGGAAATGAGAAACATTGATATGAATTAATTTTAGGTGTGATAATGATATTAATGGTAATAAAATATTCAATGTCTTTTAGAATTACATACTAAAATATTTAAATATGAAATATGATGGCGAGGATCTGTTTCAAAATAATGTAGGAGGTGGGAGGTGTTTAATAATTAACACTGTGTTAATTATTGAGGCTAATAGGAATACAGAGGTTCACTAAACTATTTCCTCTACTTCTATATGCCTGAAATTCTCTATAATCAAAAGTTAAACAAAGTCTGAGTTAAAGGTTTATAAAAGCTAAACATATAGTGGTGGATATATGTCATTATGCATATGTCAGAATCCATGGAATATCCGACACCCAGGCGAGCCCTCACGCACACTATGACTCTGGGTGATGGTGACGTGACAGTGCAGATTCACTGTTGCAACAAACTGCAGAGGACGGGTTAGGGATGGACTTTCTGCTCAGTTTTGCTATGGATGGAAAACAGCAGCCTATTATGTTGTACACCTATAACTAAAATAATATTGTATGTCATCTGTAATTGAAAAAGATTTTAATACAGTCTATTAAAAAACCAGTTAACCATCTAACTCAAGTGCTGATCCCATTTAAAAAAAAAAGATATTTATTGATTTCAGAGAGGGAGACAGATAGAAACATCAATGATGAGAATCATTGATCAGCTGCTTCCTGCATGCCCCCTACTGGGAATCGAGCCTGCAACCCAGGCATGTGCCCTAGGCTGGAATCGAACCCTGGACCCTTCAGTCTGCAGGTTGATGCTCTGTCCACTGAGCTAAACTGGCTAGGGCTGATCCCATTCTTCATGCAACAAAGTGGGTAGCTGGGTGGGGGGCTGCAGCTGCTCTACTCAGGACACTAGTTTACCCCAGCCCGTCGGGCAGGTCACAGAACTTTACCTCTGAGAGCTCTTCCCACTTCCAGTGTCTTGTTTCCTCACCTGAGGGGTCAGGAAAATAACAGCTGCCCTCCTTTCCTTCTGGGCTGAGGCGAAGACATATTAAAACCACGTGGGCCCTAGCTGCCTGGCTCAGTGGATAGAGCGTTGGCCTGCAGATTGAGGGGTCCCGGGTTTGGTTCTGGTCAAGGACACATGCCTGGATTGCAGGCTCGATCCCCAGTACGGGGTGTGCAGGAGGCAGCCAATTGATGAGTCTCATCATTGATGTTTCTCTCTCTCCCTCTCCCTTCCTCTCTGAAATCAATAAAAATATATTTAAAAAAAGAAAATAAAGCCACGTGGAAGTGTTTGGAACCAAGCAGCAACACAGGCTTGACTGTCTAGCACTCGGTCAAGATGGCAGACAGCTGGCCGCTGGCCAGGTCATCACAGGCATGCGGGGATTTGGGGTTTGCCTCAGGCACTTTTCAAATTCTTCCTCATTCACATTTTGAGGGGGGAGAGTAAGGGACCTTTGTTATTTCCAAAGGCTCACACTAAGCCTAGGTCTGGCAAGTTTATGCTCAGCTTAGAAAAATGTTTCTCTAGATTTCAATAACCAGAGAAAGTATCAACAGTGAGAACAGTTCCTCCTTTGTAGGTGGTTAGGCTCTGTGCCTTTCTCTTCGCTGTGCTGCGGCTTCACATGACATACTTGCATGGATGTCTCTCCTCCCGTGGGACCCACTGGGCTGCTGGAAATGGCAGGCTAAGGTCTTTCTCATTCTGGAAAAGTTTTAGCTACTGCCCTTTAAGTATTTTCTCTCAACCACTTTCTTCTCTCCCCTTTCAATAAATGACAAGTAGACAAAAAAGTAAGTAAAAACATAGATTTAAAAATATGATTACTAAATGACTGAGTGAACAAATACAAATGGCTGCATGCAACAATGGCAGAATTCCTGTCAAAAAGGCAAAGGAGCCTGGACCAGTTTGGCTCAGTGGATAGAGCGTTGGCTTGGGGACTGAAGGGCCCCGGGTTCGATTCCGGTCAAGGGCATGTACCTTGGTTGCGGGCATATCCCCAGTAGGGGGTGTGCAAGACGCAGCTGATCAATGACTCTCATTAATGTTTCTAACTCTCTCTCTCTCCCTTCCTCTCTGTACAAAAATCAAAAAATATATTAAAAAAAAAAAAAAAAGGCAAAGGACTTTCTCTAGAAATTGGCCATTTTGGGATCTGTAAGGCAAGCTGTCCACATGTTCCCGCTTCCTTCTGCAGGAAGGAGGGCCGAGTCCAGGTGCACCCAGCTCCCCAGACCTTTGCATAAACCCGCATTTTTTTTTCTCTTTATTAATCCCCATCCAAGGATATATTTTTATTAATTTTAGAGAAAGAGGAAGAGGGAGAGAGAAACATTGATCAATCGCCTCCCCTAAGTGCCCTGACCAGCGATCTAACCTGTAACCTAGGTATGTGCCCCAGCGCTTTGGTGCACAGATGACACTCCCAGCAACCGAGCCAGCGGCCAGGGCGGCACTGCAGCTCACAGACCCCAGCACTCCTCCCACTGAGCTGCAGCCCAGCTTTCTTATGCACCGGAGCGGGGAGGAGGAGGGTGTCTGAGCCGGTCCTGGGACACTGAGGCACTGCACATCACCTCGCAGGCTGGTCCTGAAGACCAGCTGTCTACACATCTGACCTCTGGAGCCGTGAGAAGTTCTAACTGTGTGGGCTGGGCAGTCAGTATGCAGGGAGTTTGCCTCCTAAGCCCAGGGCCACAACCCTCCGGTCTTCACACTCAGACCCCAGGGATGTTGTCAACAGGTGAGAGGTGTGACCTGCGAGCTGCTGGTCCACACTTTGCAGCCAGGAAAGAACAAAGTCAATGGGCCCAGTAAGGCAGAGACCAGCCGGCAGGCCCAGGCCCACTGCACCCCCTGACCCCCAGCGTGGGGCATGGAGTGAGCCAGGCAGGTGCTCTTTTGCCGTTCCGTCGCAGACAGCTGACTACTAAGTCTCCTGTCATTGGAAAAAAGGTGGCTGACCAACACATTAATGGAAATCTGCCTCACAAAGGTCCAGTAATCACTTCACTCCACAAACTCACCAAGACGGAAGCCAGCGTGGCTCTCTGCAGAAGGACTCACCTTTCATAAAGGACTCATCGAACTCAACGTTTACATGGCTGGGACTTTAAACGGCCACATTTTAGGTATCAGCTCATGAAGAATCCTTGTTCTTACTGTTTTAGAAATAGACAGTAAGCCGGCTAAAACTTGACCACTGGCGAGGCCCGCTCCCGCTATCCTGGGAGAGAGATGGTGTTCCCGGCATGCCCCCCGCCCCCTGCAGGTGAGTGTGACTCCCTCTGGCTCTGGTGCTCTCACATGTCCTCCTGTTGTGGCCGGCAAGACCTGGTCGAGGCAGGGCTCCAGGCCAGGGAAGGAACAAGCAATCAGACCCACAACAAATATGTAGCATAACTGTTAGTCATAAAATAGTTCTGTTGCAAGGCTCAACCCCCAGGCAGGCATGTCCTGTTTCCAGTAGCCGCAAGGCAGGACAAACAGATCAAACCAGGTCAGAGATTGCTTAAGCTGAAAATAAACCCCCACCCCAGGTGTTGTATAAACTTTAAATGTTACTGTACTAGTGGAATTTTTCTATAACTTATAACTGACGTTTCTTTGTTAAAACTTTTAGCCAATCATAATCTGCCAGGCATCCCTAAGACGGGGATAAAAGCAGCGTGCTTAGAGTGGGTTGGGGCTCTCCTTGCTCGCTGCTGTGTCAGTTGAGACGGGAGCCTGGACTCGAGTTCGCAATAAAGGCTTCCTAAATTCCAATTTGGCTGATTGGTGATCGTCATTCGCGGATCGCCCACAACACTCCCCGTAGCGGGTGTGAATTTATCCTTGTTTTCTGAAACAGGATTACAATTCTAATTTTGCCACTTGCTGAACTTGGGCTAGCTGCCGGCCTCTGGAAACTCAATTTCCTTGATGTAAATTAAGATGATAACTTTACCTCTGAAGTTAACACAATATTCTAAATGTGAAAATGCTCAGTAGAAGGGGACGTTTGTACAAATGAGAGTTGGAGACCTGGGCTTTTAGGAGACAGGACAGAGGATATACGGGCAGTCCTCTGCCTCCGAGCTGGCTGATTGGTCACAGTCTCTCAGAGGGTGTTTGTCGCAGGAGGTTTGAGAGAGCGCCGGAGGGTCCGCCTCGGTGGGGTGGCCCTGGAGAAGGCTGGGGTGGAGGGTGGGAAGGGCGGCCACAGGAAAGGTGTGACTGGGAGGGTGCCCATACCAGGTTGATGTCATTCGCTTCCATGTGCTGGAGGAGGACGCTGGCCACACGCTCCGTGTCCCACTGCACAGCCGGGTCATCTGGGAAGTCCCTGCGGGAAGGAGCACAGCGTGAGCACGTTCCCAACATCAAGTCCCTCCCTGAGCCCTGCGGTGGGCGCCAGCCTCAGGACGGGAATTGTAGGGGGGCTGCCTTTCATCCAGATTTCTGTTGAAAGAGGTAAACTTTAGAAACGGCACACAAGTAGAAACCGATGGACAACCCCACAGAACACGCTGGCAGCTTCGGGCCACTGCTGAGGGGAAAAAACAGACATCAACGAGACAACCCTTTATCTGAAGTCGGGAGACAGATGGCACGTAAGAGCCAACCTGGCACACACATCTTTATAAGAATAACAGTAATAGTGCTTCAAATGAAAGAGTACACGGGGTGTCACTTCATTCCGCCTGAGGACGACCTTTTAAGAACCCTGACAGATGACGTGAAGTAGCTTTGCTTGGAAGATTGTTAAAGTGGGGTCTGAATCAGATTTTCTTTTTTAAATATATTTTATTTTTTTACAGAGAGGAAGGGAGAGGGACAAGGAGTTAGAAACATCAATGAGATGGAAACATCGATCAGCTGCCTCTTGCACACCTCCTACTGGGGATGTGCCTGCAACCAAGGTACACCCCCTTGACCGGAATCGAACCTGGGACCCTTCAGTCTGCAGGTCGACGCTCTATCCACTGAGCCAAACCAGTCAGGGCTGAACCAGGTTTTCTGATGTAAAACCAAGATGCTCTGTCACCAGGTGCTGGCAACATGCCACCCGCAATGAGGCACCACGTGGCCTGCCTCAGCCGGAGGTCTCTGCAGCTGGCTCTGCACTGTCCACACTGCAGACTGTCCTCCCGTCCCGTTCTGGTGCATGGATCCGTGGCACCACCTGACACAGCCAGGTCTAGCCCTTTCTGAAGAGATCATAAAGAGATAGCCATCTCTCTCTCTCTCTGGCTCAGGTCCTGGGCAACATCCCCGCATGACCAGGGGTCAGGCTCTCATTGCTCCCGCTAGCAGGCTGCTCTCACCTCTCTACGGACAACAGCCGCGCACTGACATCTGGTCAAGGGAGCGTCCCTGAGGTTTTCTGCATGAAAGTGGCATGAGCCTCAGCACTAAGTGATATGGCTATTTCTATAGAAAACACATAAATAGTACAGTTATTCCTGCCGCTTCACTGCTACCTCTGCCAAAGCCCTCGGTGCCTTCTGGGAGGACAGGCTTTTCAAAGCCATTCCGTGAGGCTCTCGGACTGCGCCTGCAGGAAGCAGGACAGACAGCTCAGCTGGTGGGGACAGACAGGGAGATAGCAGAGACCTAGCTCCACTCCCTGGAATGGAGGTGACTCCGGTGTGAAGAACATGAGCTGCTGAGATCCGGCTGCTGGGGAAAGACAGGAATCAGGGGAAATGCCCTTGTGCTGCAACAGCTGCATGCACGCGCCTGGGGGGAGGCCCACGCAATGCACCGGATCACTCCGGAAACCAGGAGCAGTCTGTGGCTGGAGCAGCTTCTAAGGAAGGGGGGGCAGTGGAGGCTAAGCCTACGAACCCCTGGTTGGGACTGGCTGAAAGATGAGTACCCGAGTGGGCAAGCCCCGTGGCCTGCGGTATCTGAGACTTGGGCCTGCTGGTCCAGGCTCCCCTGGGGGTAGGGCCAGGGGCCAGTGCAAGCCCAGGCTCCCTCGCGCCTTCCCTCTCACCGGGAGAGGAAAGCCCATCACCAAGGGGCCTGGGACTGTAACCTGACACATGGACAGGCCGCACTGCTCTTATTAGCAAGTCCAGACTCCCCTGTTGCGGCATTCAGGATCCTTCCCAGTCTGTCTCCTATTTTGATCCACTTCATCTCTCTCTCTCTCTCTTTTAAAAAAAATATATTTTATTGATTTTTTTACAGAGAGGAAGGGAGAGAGATAGAGAGCTAGAAATGTTGATGAGAGAGAAACATCGACCAGCTGTCTCTTGCACCCCCCCCCCCACCGGGGATGTGCCCCCAACCAAGGTACATGCCCTTGACCGGAATCGAACCCGGGACCCTTCAGTCCACAGACCGACACTCTACCACTGAGCCAAACCGGTTTCGGCCATTTCATTTCTCTTCACAGAGCAAAATAGATGATGTGTGAGAGGAAGCATTTAAAGACTGTCAAGGCGAATGTAAATGTCAAAGTAGTGTCTGTCACTGGGGCATCAGCCCAATTTCAACTCCTTAATAAAAAGACCCTCTTCTTCCCTCAGCTCTTTGCAGACTGCCTGTCAGTGGCCCGGAGGTGTGCAAGCTGATCCATGGAGGAAAGCAAGAAATCACTAGACTTTCTGTATCTGTCTTTCTCTCTGTTTAAATTCCTATTTTTTAAGCTATTTTATAGCATATAGCAGAGTATAACATGTACACAATTTAAATGAATAAACCCACAAATATGGAAACGTATACTCAAATTTCATTTCTTTTTGTCAGGGGATTACAAAAAATACAGAGTGGGGCAAAAGTAGGTTCACAGTTGTTCTATGGACAATAATGCAGTAATGAATGAATAACAACACAAGACTAAACTGTTTTGTATACTCATAGCTCTGAATCTACTTTGGCTCTACCCTGTATTTGGAGATCACTGGTCTAATCTACTCATCCTACATTTTATTTATTTTTGGATATTTAAAAACTACTTTATTGGTATAATTTACATAATATAAAGTCCACCCATTTAAAATGCACAATTTAGCCCTGCTGGCATGGCTCAGTGGTGAGCATCGATCTATGAACCAGAAAGTCGAAGGTTTGATTCCTGGTCAGGGCACATGCCCAGGGTTGTGGGCTCGATCCCCAGTGTGGGATGTACAGGAGGCAGCCGATCAATAATTCTTCCTCATCATTGATGTTTCTCTCTCTCCTTCTCCCTTCTTCTCTGAAATTAATAAAAAATGTATTAAAATAAAAATATTTAAAAATAAATAATTTCCACAATTTAGTGATTTTTAGTAAATGTTTTGAACTTCTACATTTTACTAGTGTCTTGTATATATTTGGCAGAGCCAAAGGCTACTATACTAACCAGATTCTGAGTGTTGAAACATGCAAGGAAGAGCTTTGAAAGTTAGCAACTTGATAAAACAAATAAGGGGCAAAAAACTCTATGAAGTGCAGAGGGCAGCAAGGTATCTCAATGAGTCACCTTCCCTCAAGGCAGGAAAACATAAAATTTGACCCTGGAAAACTTCAAACAGATAAATGTAAAAAAAAGGAACTCCTTCTAGATCAACTGCCTGACTTGTCCTTGGCCTCAAGTTCAGCCCTAATCAACTCAAGGCTTGGGTCCAGATGAAAACTTCTGCAGTTCCTTTCTTTTCTGATGGATTAACAATTACACCTCAGCCGGGACCGGTTTGGCTCAGTGGGTAGAGCGTCGGCCTGCAGACTGAAAGGTCCGGGGTTCGATTCCGGTCAAGGGCATGTACCTTGGTTGCGGGCACATCCCTAATAGGGGTGTGTGCAAGAGGCAACTGGTCGGTGTTTCTCTCTCATCGAGGTTTCTAACTCTCTGTCCCTCTCAATTCCTCTCTGTGTAAAATCAATAAAATGTATTAAAAACAAACAAACAAACAAACAAAAACAATTACACCTCAGCTAAACTGCTGGCGGAATGTAAACAGAAGTGCTGCAAGAGACAGCTGGTGAACCACCCCTGAGCTGTCTTTCTCAGTGCTGCCCCCTTGCTGGCTGGGGACTAGATACACCTAAGGTAAGGAATGTTAATGCAGCACAAAAATAAGAAAAGCCACAAGTTACTAAAGTTTATTTTGGTTGTGACTTCTTGGTCTAAAAGAATGAGACATGAAAGTGGAAATGTATTTGGAGGAATTGAATTTGAAAGCAAAGTAAGTTTACAAGGTAACTTCTACATAAAGGCTCTGGACGTGTCACATTCTGCAGACATGCTCATGTGGGTTTCCCAGAAAGCACAGCCTAGGGTGCACGTGTGTTTTATTGGGGCGTGTAAGCCCTGGAAGCAGGAGTGACGGAGGGAGGGGAGCCCACACGGGATGCTTTATCAACGTGACCCCTGCAGGGCCCTGGCTTCGTGGCCTCATGGGGGTGTGTGGAAGCACCTGCGACCCGCTCAGCTGCCCAGAGAGGAGAGCTGTTTATCTCCACAGGCGTTAACCTTCCACACTCGGGCTGACAGAGAAAACCTGGGGCAGAAAGGAGGGGTGCAGAGCGGGGCCTGAGGCGAGCGGCTGTCAGGTGCTGGGAGGGGGGATCTGGAGGCGCACAGCACTCACCCCCAGAGCAGGACTCTGAGAGGGAGACACTGCCATGGAGCCCGCTGGGACGAGGCGCACGTGAGGCCCCGAGCCTGGGGCTAAGGTTTAGGGATACAAACACGAACACAAACCCTGTTCCCTTCCCTAGGAAGCTTCCGGCCCCGCAGGGCGAGCTTTGCCTGGTGGCTTGGCTGCAGGATGCGAAGGGTTTGCTGGGAGAGGAGAGGGCTGGGTGGGAGGGGAAGAGCCAGGCTGGGTGGCAGCCGCCCTGACTCCATGCTGCCATCCCTCAGGGGGTGCCACAGGCAGCACCTCGGGAAGACAAGGCCACCGTGTCCGGCTGGCAGGCCTGAGAGAAGGGGAAGGGGGTGCCTGCAAGCTCAAACACAGCGGAGGAAACAGCTGAGCCAGTCTTTCGGTCCAATAACCGCCGTCCTCAGGCCCTGCCCTGGGTGTGCCCGGCCAACAGTGTCAGCACAGACCGGGCGCAGCCCTGACCCTCATGTTCAGTGAACAGGTCCGCACAGGCCGGCCTGGCTGAGGGCTCAGCCGGCTGCGCTGGGGGGAGCCGTCAGGCCGTGGAGGGGGGTAAGGCCTGTGGGTGTCAGTTCCTTCAGGAAGGCCCTCCCGCCCCCGGGGAAGGCCGGCCGCACCCCCGCAGCCGGAAACCGGTCCGTACTGGTCCGGGCGGTGCGGCGGGAAGGCGCGGCCCTCCCCACCCCGAGGCACGTTTCCGAACCTGATCACTTCCTTGGTGTCGCTGAGTTCCCTGAGCCCGGGG